CGCCAGCCCACCGCCGCTTCCCGCCCGGACGGGGTGTCAGCACCCGGCCCATCCTGTGCAAGGCCCTCCTGCCGCAGCCCAGAGCCCCCAGCAGCCCCGCCGCCAAAGGAAAGCAGAGGCTGAGGCCGGAGGAGTGAAATCCGTGTTTATTGCAGGAAAGACTGAGGAGCAGTGGGCCAGACCCAGCCTTCACGTGGCTCCGTGTTACAGCCATGGTGCCAGGCTCTTTCTGGTGCTTCTCGACCTGGTCACCCCCAGCACTGGCCCAGCTGCTCTGCTACCCCTCCTATGTTATGGGAGGGATGATGTGGGGCTACCCAGCCTCTTCCCCAGCTTGAGAAGCATCCCAGCCCTCCCACTTACATGCCTCACATCCTCTTTCCCCTCCCTAGAGGCTTTCGGACACGAGGTTCCCAACGCTCCTTGCGCAAGGCACTTGCACCTTTCAGCTTAAGGGCTCTGTGCTGGAAGGTTGCATTAACCACCACTGCAGAGCACATTACTGGTGACGTGGAAAGCCTCAGGAGAGTTGCAGCGGCAGCTGCCCACCCCAATAGTACCAGCACTCCTCAGACTTTTCCCCTCTGCCTTTGCCAGTGGCACCAACAAAACAGTGCAGGCACAGGGCACTGCCATGCTGTCAGCTCTGGGACCCTGCTGCCAGGGCAGCTGCTGTGAGCAGGAGCTGGAACACCCCAGCAGGGTGGGGGGGGCAGGGACAGGGCTTGAGCCTGTCTTAGCAAGAAATTAAGTTACTGGGTTATACAGAACAAAGGTGACAGAGAAGGAGGGACACCTCACAGGGTGCTTGGTTTCTGCCCCCATAGCAGAAGGAATCACAGGGCAAACGCTCCTGGAGCCAGGGCAAGGGGCACATGCAAGACCCCCTACCCTGGCACAGGTGGCCCACCCCCCTCCAGAGACCCTCCTCCAGAAGGGCCTGCAGCGCTGCAAGAAGGAAAAGCTCCCCTGTCACAATCAGTCCCTCTCCCCCGGGCTGCGCTGAGCAGACGGTCCTTGCACAGACCCCCAGATCGTCCTGTTGCGCAGCCAGAGACCTTCCCCCTTCGCGGCCCTGCCAGCACCGCACCCGATCCAGGGCGAGTCGGTCCCGACGTCCCGGGGCTCTGACCGCAGCTGCCGCAGCTCCCGCTCCAGCGCCTGGCTCCGGTGGTACATCTCCATGTAGCTGGCCTGGAGCTCCCGCTGGTACCGCAGCACCTTCTCCTTCTCCTCCTGCCAAGTCTTCCTCTCCAGCTCAAAGTTCACAGCCTGCAGCTGGCCCTGGCGCCGCTCCCGCAGCAGCTCTGCCCACAGCCACTCCACCTGCCGCTCCAGGGGCTCCGCCGTGTCACTGTGAAGGCCCCGGCACTTGGAGTCGTCAGTTTCGCAGCCAGGGAAGTCCTGGCACGCTGGCATGGGGTCGTCGCCCAGCGGCAGCGAGCGGCTGGGCTCCGGGGGGCTCTGGAAGGAGTCTGCCAGTTGTGCCAGCTGGGAGTCCCTGGCCTGGACCTCCGCCTTGGCCTCCCGCAGCTGCGTCTTCAGGCTGAAGATCTCACCCAGCTTCTGAGCCATCTCCTCCTGGGTATCCCGGAGCTGCTGCTTGAGCAGGGAGATCTCTGCTGCCTTCTGGCACACCTGCAGGGCATGGGCAAGCGGTGAGGAAATGCTGGGGGAGCGGGACCCCGGGAAGGCAGAGCCCCACGCTGTCACCACAGCATCCCTGGGACACCACAAGCATCACACGTGGCTCACCCCGCAAGTCCTGCAGCCACGAGTGACACCAGCGCAGGAAACCGCTGCCCCCATCCCGGTGGCACCAGGGAGGGAAGGAAGCCGACTCACCTCCCACTTGGT